TTTTCTATCACCATTCTTACTAGCTTCTAGGGTTGCGCCTCGCATGGGTAACTTTATTTTCCCGTTCGCGTAATTCCTATTGGTCCTTTTCTTCTTTTAATTATACTGTAATTTTGTGACCAATAAAGTTGATAGACATAACTGGGTTATTTCTAATGGCCACATTCGATATAACAATATTCTAACATGGATCCGAGGCTTCCGGATTAAAATTGTACATTTTTTACGTTTTTTTGTCTCTAAATTTCCAAGCAACTGGGAAACAAAAAAAACACCACCAAATATAGAAGTCTGTCCTGAAAGCCTCGGAACCATGTTAGAATATTGATATATCGAACATGGACTCAACTACGCTTAATTAACCGGTTACGGAAAAATCGTGAGTGGCTGCTATTTTCGGCAATTCATTGTTCATTGAACTTAAACCGGGTTAACGGTTACCGTAGAAATTAATTGAAGAACAATAGATTTTTTAACCGTGTTAGGTTAATTTTAAACTGCTTTCTGCGTGGTTTAACCCCGGGTGGGGGTCTCCCATTTAAAAAGGGCGGGGGTGCTCGTCGGAATTTTTTGAAAAGAACTCCTAAGAGGTACCAAAATCCTGTTTTGTTGGCATAGCTTGAAATGTTTTCCACCCCTAAGAGGTACTAACTCTAAAACAGTAAAACGGGCACACCGAGCATGATCCAGGCCGCGCGAGCAACATGGAGTCAGCAATTAAACAGCATGCTGAGTCCACGGATCAGAACATTCACCCAGGAGACTCCTAGATCCTCGAACGTGGTGTTAACAACTACCACAAGAGGACTCTCAACTTTGGACAGCGCTGCCATCAACAAGAGGAAACCGTTCCCTCGGGTTTACTTACCGTTGATTTAAAAATCATCATAATATAGATAGGACCCCGCACGCGCTCTGATTGGTCAAAATCCCATGTTTTATCAGAGTATAAAATATAGAAAAAGCGTGCTTTATTGTTTTTCGCACATTACCTCTATATCATAAAGCAAATGAAGAAGCCTAAGCCTTGTATTACACTAAGCCTTGTATTACACCGGACATTTGAGAACACTCGAGAAATGTAGAAATGTCCGTCGTGTTTTATCACAGTTTAAATCACGGCTTAGGTTTCTTTATTTGTTAAATAAAACGACAGCAAGC